AATCTTGAGAGGGTTGATGCATATATGAGCTTTTGTTTGGTGTTTTATTCTTTAATATTTTTTATTTTATACAGTAATTTTGATCTCATTTTTTTAAGTCTCTATAGTTAAAGGTTTTTTGTTGATGCAAATCCTTATGTAAGTTTTTGTCGCGAGTTTTGTCTAGTCAGAAATTTATATAAAAGATAAGATTTTCATTTTATTCTTTTTATCTATTGCAAAATTCGCATATATAGTACACGTATATATGTATATATATATTAAAGCGTATTAAGATATTATGCTATGTTATGCAGATACTATTATAAAAGTAAGATATGTTCATCCAAGTACGAAAGAGGATAGTAATCTAATTACGTTGTGGGCTATCAGTACATATCCAGTTAGACGCGAAGATTATGTGATCGAAATGGTTTTATTTGTTTTGAATAATCCTGATAAAAGAGATTTCGAAACTCAAGCCATTTTTGAAAGAGATAGCTATTATTCCATTGGTGGTAAAATTGTACCTGGAATTTATAAAGGCAAGAAGAAACCAAAGATATTGTTTAGACTATTTATAAATTTTACAGGTTATATTTATTTATATGTTGTCTTCTTTTCATCTCAGATGACAGTTTCAATTTCTACTCATGTAATGATTTTGAATAAGGCTCCTGAATTAAATAAGTGTCCTTTGAGAATTTCTCTTATCGAAGTTGCCCAAGAATCGATAAATGTATTAAAAAACAATGAGAATGCTATCTTTAACATAATGATTAATGATTACACTGGTCAAGATTGTAATTTCATGGTCAAAGTTGTTTTCTCACATCTCAATTCTTGATTTTCGTATCTGAAGAATACAATTCGTCTGCAGGAATTACTTGTTTTTATTGTTAGGCAATTGGAAGTAATTCATAACGATTTTTACATTTATGCTAAAGATATTAGTGTTATTGACACTACTTCATTCAGAAGAAGAATTTTTGACAACAGTTCCACTAATTTATCAGAAGTCGTTAATGCTACTCAGTCAAAACTTTTTTCTACATATCGAAACATTAATGAAAGTCAGAAAGGTATTGATAAGTTTAAAACTTCATCCCTAAATGTTTCAAATGATTCTGTTGATAATAATTTTCAACTTGCGTCGTGTTCTAAGCACGTGAGAACTGAACATAGTGATGAATTTACGAACATGTTTAATGATACTAGTGGTAATAATATAGAGATGGGTAAAGTTAATAATTTGAATAAAGTTGCTTAGAATGATCGTGTTGGGAATATATTAGGAGATGAAAAATGTAAAAGGAGAAAGAATGTTAAAAAGGGTGTAGGTCGTCATTTGCGTAGTGATTCGAAATTATCTAAGTCTGATACAGATATTGTTAATAGCAAGTAGCGGTGAACGAATTTATTTAATTCGTATATTATATAGTATTCATATGAAAACATGATATTTTTTATTACACATACGTGTAAAAGTATAAATAAAGGTTTAGTTTGACATTTGATAAATGATTATAATTGTTAAATATGAGATTTCAGTCATAGGTTTTGCGAACTGAAATAAAGATCTTTTTTTTTTTTTTTAATAATGTGTATTTCAATCATTTTTTGAGAAAAGTTTACTTTATCATATTTAGTTCTTATTTTACATGCATAAAGACACGATGTAGTCATAAACTATACTTTCATGAGTAAATCGAGTGAAGTTGTTCGAATATTTTAGATTTTAATTTATATATAAACTTTTTGATTTTATCAGTTCTTGGAGTATATGATTAGTTTTTTGGCATTTGTGTTTTGAAGTTTATATCACAATTATGTTTTTATAATACATCAGAAAGATAATATTTGTATTGCTGATGTAGTAGAGTTTTACATTAATTTTATTTATTCTTTTGTATGTTACAACAAATGATCTTATATAAATTTTTTTTTCTTTTTTATGTAGGTTATATTTAAAAAGCGTTAACTGCAATATTTTTTTTTCTTTTCTTATAAAAATGTTTATAGACATGTGTTATTATAATACTTAATCCTGTAAAATTTCTTTATAAACAATGTTACATGTAAAAGTTCCTTGTGTACTAGGAACATTGGCATTCTTGACCAATACTTTAATGTTATGTTGAGACTGAGCATGTGAGAATGCAATATAAAGTTGACCATGTGTGAATACATGCTCAGAGAGATAAAGCCCTACGCGAGGTATAGTCTGACCTTGGAACTTGTTGATTGTTAACGCAAATGCAAGTCTGATCAAGAACTGTCTTCTTTTTAAAGTAAATAGTAGCTTGACATTGTTTGAAGGGAATAATGGTATTCTTGGAAGGAATACATTATTTCCT